GGGGTGCCAACCTCGAAAATTCACTCATCAAAGTTATTTTATCCCAAAGGAACGTCTTCTTCAAATAATTTTATCGTGTTCCTTGTTATTAAAACTCCTTTATTTATTAAGAGTTGCGTTTTGTTAATTTTTAAATTTAACTTTCATTCTCCTTGTTTAGAAAAATAATTTTTCGGAAATTTATTCATGTATCGTGTTGTCTTACACACATTTTGCTGCTTTTCCGCGGTGAGGCCCCATCCTTGAAATCCCCAGTAAAATAATTCCCGTTTTACACGATCCTGAGGTTAGTGATGGCTGAGGCGATTTGCATAACCTACTGCTGTACCTGTTGGTTCTCGAGACACACGGCAGTTACCTTTATTGTGATTACTCGGACCATTTGGGAGAGAGCAGGGCATTCGACCGAGGCAGGCGATTTGCCTCTGTTCCGCGTCTGCCAATCGATGCGGTTATCGGAATTCAGTGCTGACACACTGCAAAACCTCGTGAAGCCAGACGGAGAACCAAGCGTCAAGCGAGCTCAGAGTGGAGTTTCCGCCTGTGGATTTTCAACCCATTAAAGTCACACATCCCTCTCCCACTCCCTCCCCGTGGACTTCCACTCAACCCAACGACGTAAAACCTAAATAAAATAGTAGTTTCATTAGATGACTCAACGTCTCGCAGGCTACACCCCACGTCACCTCCAAACCGCCTGGGGAATCAGTGAGAATGCGTGTCACAGAATATCTGTCCTAGGAGTGGAATGTGAAAGAATATCTAGCAGAAAGGCTTGTGGGGGTATCTGCGAAAAATGGAAATGTACTGAGGAGCCGCGCAGAAAAGGTGGGAGGCAAATGAGATTCGCAGTTGCCGCTCTGACTTTGTGGGGTCGCCAAGTACCCTAGACAACACAGATGAAGCCACCTAACATACAGAGGGTACACCTGAAAGATCTACCTCCAGTACGTGAAAGAGAGGTTTGTAACCGATTTTCAAAAACGTGTGGTGGTTCACAGTAGCCGGCTTATTTAGTGAAATAGTAAGCAAAATTCTGAAATGTGTTTTAAATTAAAAAGGATTACTTAGATACGGTTATAATACTAATTTTGATGCATAATAATCTCATGATACAAGCGAACATGCGGGTCCCAGGAAGTAATTGAGAACAAGAAGACAACTAGATGGTTGGGACAGTACTTTTATTCGCCTGACCTTTCGAGATCCGTAGCGGATTCATCATCAGATACATAATCAGAGAGCAGTAGGAGATACAGTTAGCGTATGCACAGGAGTCTGCCAGTTTCTCCGACATAACTGCTTTGCCTGCAACTGCACCAGATCCTGTAGACGACTCCAGATGTGGCAGTTGGTCTTTCGATCTCATTACTTGAGTCATGGTTCACGGGCCCCAATCCATAAACCGATTGGGGCCCGCGAACAACAATGATGAAGAAGTGGATCCGACAAAGCGAAGGTCCCGGGTTCAAAGCAGGGGACCGGTGGACTAGAGGCAGCGCCTCTAACGCAATGAGCGAA